TCTCTTCTTTCTTGTTTGTTAGTGAAAATGTGTTAATGTCTATCTGTACTAGTAAGATTAGCTACTAGTAGTATGTAGCTCATCAAGGTAATGCTGAGATGACTATACACTGTAGTGAAAAGTGCAGATGGTGAACTATGTTGGAAAAGAAAAACAAATGTCAGTGGATATTCAACTATTGTATGCCGTGTTTGGAGGAGAGGTAAATGTTTGTGAAATTTCTGAAAACAACAGATTGATTTCCAACTAGTTAAATAGTAGCCAGTAATAAACCTCCTAGTAGAATGAGCAAGAACAACCCATCTGGGCCAATGTGTGTTTACAAACATACAGGGTTATTCACTAGTGCCAACTGTTAAGAATTAAAGTGAATTTCACATTTAAGGCCAAGCTAGTTGAACTGGAAAAATTCTCCAAATCAGCTATGATTCCAGTTTGGCTTCTTTGGCCTCAGCTTTAAAATTCAATTTGAATTTACTTTTAATTCCTGACAATTCTCACTGTAATGAATAACTAGTTACTGAGAATCGTAGGAATTCTCAGTAACGTGTTTTTCACTAAAATAAAATACAGTTGGGCAGCTGTCTATTGCCTACATAACGTATTTTTAGGAACAATTGATAAATATCGTTCACCCTCCAGGAGTTAGCTACGTATTTGCTCTATGTCTCTGCTATATTCTCTAGTCATATCTAGCAGTCGGTATGCTTTTTAGACCTTATCTCCTCTCAAACTCCTCCTAATAGCAAACTGAGTTTCAACTTCCTATTTTCCATAGATCCTTATTTGGAGTTATTTTCATTATTTGTTATTATTATTATTTATAAAGCGCCAACAAATTCCACAGCGCTGCACAATTAATACAATCTATGTATAATACAAGTCTACAAAAATGGCAAATAACAAACATAACTAATAGTTTGCATAGTTTGATATAATTAAAATATATATTTCATCTATGTAGTTGCTAGGGTGGTAGCTGGTGGAGTGTGTCTGTTCTTCATTTTCGAAGAAAATTGTATATTTCCCCTTACTGTATATTCCTGATTGTATTTCTATTTTATTTTCACTGGTCAAATTGTTACTCTTCATTTTGTGTTTATCAGCTAATAATGAAACCTTGCGTGGGGCACTTTACTTACTCAGACCTCCCAAAATTTCAAATGACCAAAGAGAGACATTTTAATTTTAGGGGTGTGAGTAGGGGTGTGGCTGGGGCAAGGCCGATATGAGAATTTTTAGGTGATTTACTGATAACAATTAATGCAATTAACATTTTGAAAAGGAAATCCTATTTACACAGGTTGATTTCTAAACACATTTATTGTAGTTTAAACACACATTACTATGAGTATTGTTGCTGTTGAGCTCTGTTATACACTCAGACACACCAAGAAAATGGAGTTCCTAGAAAAGAGGGACATTAGGATAGAATAGAGTAACAGATTTGGGCTCAAAATATAGACTGTCTCTCCTTAATTGGGACTCTTGGGAGGTATGCTTACTACTAAGTAAATTTAAGTAATATTCCATGTCAGCTCTTCCATTGCTAAATAAAAAAATAAATTGCTTGAAGAAATATGGATACTACAAAACAAGCTATTATATTATATTATTAGGATAAGTTGGCAAATGGGTGATCACAGCAGAAATCTTTGCTAATCATTGCCTAGAATTAATCTTTTTTTTATACTTTTTGATATGTTGCTATATTATCTATCTATCTATCTATTTTAACATGTTGAAAAACTAACTTTAAAAATCGCAAAATATTAAATTATTTGGAAAACGAATCCAACATTATAAAATAAAGCCTAAGCTTGAGTGAAGGTTTGCTGTTCAGTCCTGCCTCACTATGTCTCATCCATCAATGTCTGTTCTTTGCGACGGATCCAGTGTAATAATTAGGTGAGATGACTCCTGATTAGTTCAATCTTTTTTCAGGTTCCGTTGCCCATAGTTGCCAGTCTCTGGAGCTCTGGTTATTGTATTCTGGTCCTTGTGGCTGTAATGTCTGTTAGTAATGCCTCTCTACTGAAGTTAATAGTTAGCTGCTCTGTTCTCACTCTGTGGCATTTGTCACATCTTTAACAAGTCATCATGCACTGATTACAAGCAGGAGCATATCTAGGAACTGCAAGGCACCAGTGCAAGAATCAGCTCTCCCCTGCTTCACAACCCCCACTTGTATTTGTGGGGGGTTGTCAGGGCTTGATTGTGTAGTGATTGGCCAAGTGTGACTGTGTGTGGGGTTGGCAGAATTTGATTAGTCAGTGGCTAAGTGTTTTGGTGTGTTGGGTTGGTTGAATATCATTTTGTGTGTGGTTTGCTGAATGTTATTCTGTGGGTACTTGGCTGAATGTGAATGTGTGTGGTTGGTTGAGTGTGCTTGTGTTTGGGAGTGTGACTGTTTATTATTATGCAGGAAGAGGAGTTTGAACTTGGGTGATACAGTTAGTGCTAGCAGGATACCTGGGGGAGCTTTTGGCATAATCCCTGGTAGTGGGTACTGGCAGAACCCCTAGTGGGCTTTGCTGCTATGTCGACCCCTACTGAGGCACAGGGGTGGACTGGCCCACTGGGATACAGGGAAATTACATGGTGTCCTGGCATACCTTTAGGGCTGGTGCACAGCTGCACCGTCACAGGGCACGCAATCACCAGGTGATCAGCAGGAGAGTAGTGCACCGTAAGTGCTCCCCAATTATGCCAGTCACTACATTTAGTTTAGTCAAATGGACTGCATTCTGACTGCAATCATACCTAGAGCAAAGAGCACTTCCTGTTAGAACGGGTAGGCTACTGGTGGTGAGCAAGTACAGGAGAGATGGGGGATGGAGGAATGGAACACATGGAGGACCTGTGGGGGAGAATGAAACACATGTAGAAGCTTGGGGAGGGAGAATGAGACACATGTGGAGATTGGAAAGGGAGAATGAGGCACATGGACGAGCTGGGTTGGAATTAGACACATGGAGGGGTTGATGAGGAAGAGACCCATAGGATGATCCAGGGAAATTTTTGCACTGGGGCCTGCGTGGTTTCTCATTATGCCTCTGGCTGGCAGGTTCCCAATGGTCCAGTGGAAAAATGTGGGGTCTGCACCTCTGGGGGATGGAGCCCACAGTACATTCTCCTTCCAGTTAGTGCTCATTCAATGAGTTAGTGCATTGCCATGGCTATGCTACCTGGCAGTAGTGCTATGACTCACTTAATGAGTGCTGGGACCACAAGGGAGCAGTCAATCCCTCACAAACTTTGAAAAGACTGTTGTTCCGCCACTGATTACGGGACAGACTCACCAAAATGAAATCTTGAAACAATTGTTTCTTTCACAAGATTCCTTGAAAAAAAAAAAAGAAAAATTATGCTTTCTGTTGGGCAATAATATTTGATTTTTTTTTTTTAAACCATATACGTCCCTCACTATCTGATATACCGCTAGGAGCACTAACTGAACCTATTATTATATGATGTCTCCTAAGCAATATCATGTTTTTTTTTTTAATTAGAAAAAAGAGATTCCCTAGAAAGAAAATGGAAGACTGTGCACCAACACATGCCTTCCTGCTCTATAAACAATAATTATTCAAGATTTAGACTATTTGTTTATTCTTTGAATTATTCTGTGAATATTTTTCTTTTCTCTGACCCTTTTCTGACCCTAACTAATAGTAATATATTTAGTGCACAGTAATGCATTTATGGTTATCCAATTTGATAACACTGTTAAACTGCATCAGTAGTGTTATAGTGAAATGTTAACATCATTAATAGATATAGAATGCTAAATAAATAAAAAATCTAAGTAATATATTTATATATCACATAGATACACATTAGTATCTTTGTAATGTATTTACAGTTTACACATTTGTATATTTTTTTCCAGAAGGCACTTCTAATACATTAGTATTATTTTAATGCTTTATCAAATATTTTAGTCAGAATTTGTAACAATTTTCACCACATGTATTTCTTACTTTGTGTGTATTTAATTTGCAAATCAATGTCACAAAAAAGCATATTGCATACAAAACCTATCACTTTTTTTCATTCAAGCACCAGTCGTCAGTCATCAGAAAATAACTATTGCCACTGCAGTCAACCTTACCTGCGTGTATCTGACATAGAGACTGTACATACTACACCTAAACCAAAATCACAGTGCTATCTATAAACCAGAAAAAGATGAAATGGCTCTGTGAATACTGCTGTCATTCTGTACAACTTTAAATGAAATATATTGGTTTTAAACCAGGAAAGTATACTTAGTTTATGCAGATGTTATGTATCCACACAGACATTTCTATATTCTGGTGGCATTTTCGAGAATTTGCTTTCCTCAAAAGGTCAACATTATCCCTTATAATACCATGTATATTCCTGCAGGAGACGCCTGGCTTTGGCCCGGGTAAGTTGTCATACTGTACTAAGTCAGTTTGACAAATCACACTGGGATTGCCACAGCGTTCATGAAGCATTCATTTAATGTCTGAGCATTTCAGTAATTATAATTCAGAAAAATAATTATATGCAACAGATTGTGCAAATGTTCCTGACCTAAAATTCCAATGGTATTCGGACAGTCCAAAGGGCTGACTAGAAATACAGAAACTCAGTTTGCCTAGAGTCAGTATGTGTTTGAAAATAAAGGATGGGAATCACAATGTCATGAATTATTTGTGATGCCAAGAATCCTCATGCTGGCCCTGATTGTGACCATCACTCAGTCACATAGCCCACCTAGTAACATGCCAACCAAAAATCCCAATCACTAAGGTGATCACATACACTGTCACGTGCATAGCCACCCACCTAGATATCTACTCACATAAAGCTTCTCACCCAGTTATTAAAGCTGCTCATCTAGTCAAATCCACATTAACACACCAATAGAGATGTCGCGAACCGTCCGCGAACATCTCACGAACGGTTCGCCACGGTTCGCCAAGAGCTGTTCGCGGCGAACTCCGGTCAGCTGACACGTCCCAGCCAATCTCCAGCAGACCCTCCCTCCCAGACCCTCCTACTTCCTGGACAGCATCCGGGTTGAAACATGGATGCTGTCCAGGAAGTAGGAGGGTCTGGGAGGGAGGGTCTGCTGGAGATTGGCCGGGACGTGTCAGCTGACCGGAGTTCGCCGCGAACAGCTCTTGGCGAACCGTGGCGAACCATTCGCGAGATGTTCGCGGACGGTTCGCGACATCTCTACACACCAACACAGTCCTATTCATCACCTAGCCACATACTCATCCATCCACCCACCATTATTACATATGAACTAATTAACAAGTGAACAAAAAAACATGTGTGGAAATGGTAAAGGCTTATTTAATCAACTGATCAACTGCATTAAAATAGCAAAAATAAAACCAAAAAATATCAAGATGACAATTTGCTGTATGAGTTTGCTGGCAATAGTAATCTCCTGGAGCTTGAGTACAAGTAATGAAGATGGCACTCCTATGACACTCAGTCTCACAGATCTGGAGTGGGCATAGATTTTATTTACCAGCACTTGATCAGTATGGCAAGGTTTGCCACACAGTTTCCATTTTTTTTATTGTCAAAATGTAAACAAAAAACATGTTTACAGTATTACAGTTCCATTGCGTTGAGCAAATAAGGGCATTTATAGGGTATGTGTGATCTAACTATTTGGAGTGCCCGTAATATCTATAACATTTACACTTTATTTATTAAATGATGGAAAGACTTCCATATAACCTATATTACCATCTGCAAGATTTGTAAGTGCATATTATCTCTTAGGACACTATGCAGGCCTACACATTTAAATTCGCTATTGGCACTTTACTATGACAGTGTTATTCTGCGAATCTACATTGCTACTGTCATCAATATATCAAGACAGCCCGACAGCTGTCTCCTTCCAAATAATCTTACACACTGAGCTACTAAGAGTTAATTATCTTAAATGATTGCAATGAGAACTCTTTTCACATTTTTACTACATCCTACAATTTGTTTCAATATTATTGACATTTCTTTCAAATCATGATTGATTGCATAGAACATACCCAGGTAAGAAAATCACAAGCACTAGTTAATCAAGGGTGTTTGCAAAGCGTATCTAGAGTTTATGCACAAAGCTGTTTGCCAGAATCCATTATGTAAATGTAGGATTGATACCCTGAATGTATTGAAATTGCAACATAGCACTATCTATGCTTAAACAGCATTAAAACACTGGTGAAAATCTGTAGAGCAGTCAATTGTGCGAAAAGTGACAAGGGGAAAATAAAGTTGATCTTGAGAATGAACAGACTGTAGTATTTTGTTTGTAGCTAGCTTTCCTTTTCCTGCATATTCTGTGTCCAACAGATTTCCAAAAAATAAAATGCCTTCCATCAAGTGTAAGTAAAAACAGTTTTATGTGTTCTTAAAAAAATAAAACCGGGAAAAAAAGCAAAAAATAAACCTTTAGAAGCATAGACCTTTTTTGGATCGCAGGTATGTCTGTAGAATTCCAACAGACCAAACAGGAAGCATCGGCATTAGGCTCAAGATATACTGTGAGATTATCCAAAGCAATGTTATTTGCCTTGTGGCTGTTCTTTAGAAGAAATGACATGCAGGGAAGTGTGACGATTGGCAATATCCAATTAATCCCCAGTAGACTTAATATATTTACATGATGGATAGTTACAGATAAACACAGGAGACACTTTGGTCCATGCAAAATGTCACTTTTGCCATGTATCCCCTTGGCACTTTGTAAAATGGACTTGATGTAAAACCAGGTCCAACTGTTATCTTTGGTAAAATACATATCTATATTCTAATAGTAGAACCTACCTGGGGATGTTGGAATAGCATCAAGGAGAGAATCACTTGGTTAAAATGAAGAAGAGCAAGATGATACATTTAATTTACCTTTCACTCTTCTTTAGATGGAACTATCATAGAAGTATATTGCAATTATTTATAATTAATAAATGACAAGCTGTCTTTGGAAATTAAGTAAGTCATTCGTCTAGCAGCTTAAATAATGCACAGATTAAATAAGGATTACAAAGTGATTAGAATAAACTTTTTGTCATTCTTTGTTTTGCTTGCAGAGATGCTCTTTCTTATAATCTTGTTTTATGTTTTGTGTAGGTAAAAAAAACAAAATAAGCAACAAATAATTGTGAGTAGCCCATTTCTACTAATTCAATCATAGAAAGTTTCTGTTCTTGAGTACGTAAATTAGGACCAATTAGTCAAACATATTGTCATTGAATAGGTACTCTTCTGCCTTTGTAAAAGGCTTTAATATTATTATAAATAATTTCTGTCATGCTTGCGTCACCAACTTCATATTGATCATCTCAAAAGTTTCAAATGAAATACAAACATATTTTTTTTAAAGTTAAATATATATATAAAGTTGTTCTTTTTTGTATCTAATGTTCTGACTGTCTGTATCTGTTTCTCTTTCTGTCTGCCTGTATATATCTCTATATTAGTCTGCCTGTATATATCTCTGTCTATTTCTCTGCCTGTATATAAGTCAGTCTGTCTGTCTATATCTACCTGCATGTATGTCATGTATATTCATCTGTATGTCACAGAGCAAAATCTATCAAATCTTGGGTTTTGCAACTAACAAAGTGACATATATATTCTTACAATATTGAGTGTATGTCTGTGCGTGTCTTGATATTGCATTTTGAAACCTTACAAGGTTAGATTTTGTGTGTGAAACATTTTGTTACATGTTGAGGTTTTTTTTTTTTGCTTGTAAAAATAATGAAAGCTGTAACACCACAGCATATTTAAAGAATATTTCCCAACCATCCTTTGCTGCTGAAACTTGTGACTTCCTCATCGTTGAAGGTAATTTTTTGTTCTAGTATCTAAGATACATGAGGTTTCCTCTTTATTGGGTCCTTGGGAGAAGATCGTAGATGCCATTGTTTCCCTTAAATCCATCAAGCCCTGGCCTTAAAAAGGTATATTAAGGTGTTTATGGAACTCCTACAAACCCTGCACTCCTTTTCACTCTCTGAGAAAAAGAAGAACTACTTAAACCTTCAACTGACTTGGATAATATAATGATGATTCCCAAAGAGGGCCAGGTCCCCCTTAGGCCAGCACCCTTCAGACCTATCATGTCAATGTACTCTGATCCTATTGTTTTTCCCAAAGATCTTACAATGCATTTACTCCCATTTGTGAAAAGTTTAGTTCATTCCGGTTTGGTGGAATTCATGCCTGAACTCCAGGATTATGATACCATCAGGAGATGTGTAGATTTAATTTGTCTGCCCATGCACAGGAGTTTGCCTTTTCTATTCCTATCTTTTGATGCAGACAAGAAAGCAAATAGAGCAGAGTGATCGTACCTATTGAAGTTGCTTGTTAATCTGAGATTTCCATCTCCATTTATTCACTCGATTGAAGCCTTATACACAGATTAATCCCACAGATTTTTCTCTGGGGAATGGCATTCATCATAGCCATCCCTCTCACCTATGTTGTTCACTTTTAAACTATTCACCAGAGAGTTTGCTCAGATCTGGAGAATTAGGAATTGATTGTGGGTCAGTCAACCTGCAAAGTAACTATGCAGATGATGTCATACTTATATTGGCTAAGCTCCAAACAAGACACATACATCCCTTTCCTCCAAAATGTGTCCTGGACCCCCAGAACAAGAAAGAAAAATAGTAAAATGGCTCAGCACTCCTTCATTCTGTGTTGTTTTATTGGTGACCAAAAACAGGCAATATATTTCAGAGTTTTCCAAAAACCTTTTTAAACCTTGCATCCAGTTTACCTTTACGGGGTAAATTCTATACCCCTTATACGTGCCCTAAAAAAGCACATGAATACAAGGTACAGGCATACTATTTATTGGATGGGACCCACAGTGTCAAGATGACTCTGCTCCCTATTATTCTGTAAAATGTTTAAGTGCCTTTAGTTGTTGTACCCATGGCTTACAATTCTTGCAAACTGCAATATAATTTCTCATATGGAAAGAATAAGAGTTAGCAGACATGGTCTGATATGGATCACATTTTAAGATCTCAGACTTTCCCCTTTCTAATTGTAATATTAGTCTATGACTGTTGCCACTGAAAAGTGATGACTTTATATGCTGTAGCCAACTGACTACATGTATAATGTCACCATAACAAATAAAGTCTTTAAAAAAAAAAAAAAAAGCAGAGCTGTATGAGCTATGGACTTTCAGATTACGGCAGCACTGTCCATGGGGACAAAGTAGTACGATGTAAGGAAGGCATTTTTCAAGTGTGCAACTCTAATGCAATGTGATTTAATAAAAAAAAATTGGCAAAGATCTCAACCCTGCAGTTATCTATGAACCTACCCAGAGGTCCCTGTTCTAGGGAAGCACACAGCTGGATAGTGATGAAAGTAATGTCATGAAATGCGGATACTGTGTGCACCTGTATCAGTGATGTTTTCTATATGGCCTATTTAAAATTACGTAGAATAAATGTGTCATTGTTTTTAATTTCAACGGCGTCCTGCACTATTATTCTTTTCTCTTTATCATACAGGTTTCCTCCACTCCTACCTTGATTTTTATTTCCAGAAACAGCTGGTAGACTTGATTGATTTCAAGGCCTATTTGAAATCAATCACGCAGAGTTTAGGATAGCAAGGGACAGACAAAATGAAATAAACGTACATATTACCAGGTCTTAGCGTGGTCGCACTTAATGTTAGACAGAGAGTTAAGTGTAGTCACAATACAAGCCGAGGTCAGGTTAACAGAGAGACAGTGAAAACGAAAACTAGCCAGAGTCAGTTACATGGTAAACAGTCAGACAGGCAAACAAGACAGACAAGAGTTAAAGTAAAACTCAGAGTCACGAAAAAAGTCAATACCGGAATACAATACTATGAATCAGGGAACGCACTAAAGGGTACTGGGAACAGAAACCACAATAGGGCACAATTTCTAGAGCCAGCTAAGTTTAAATACTATTAGGTTTCATTTGATTGGTCGTAATGTCTACGACCTCTAAACGTGCATGAATGGGGGCGACGAAATGACGTGGGCCAATGGGAGCCGACCATGAGGTCATGCTTCCACTTCCCCTTTAAGAAAGTGCTTGTGACACGAGC